TTTTACAATGTTGAATGTTGAATCGAAAGGAAATGCCACGAATAAGGCAATTCCAGACCTTAAATACGAGCTATACTAATATTTTATAATGGTATTTTTGTAAATTTAATAACTTAAAATCTAGTCTAACAACATTAGTGACAAGGGCGATGTACAAGGGGATTACGTATACGCCGCGTTGACTTAGCTCTCTCTAATTATCCAACTTAACCGACGCCTTTAATTAGCCGCTGCCAGTGGGCGTGGTACACGGGATATAAAAGGCTCCTGATAACGAGGCAAGTGGCTGTCATTGGGGGAGAAATGGATGTGGTGCAGTGAAAGTTTCATCGAAATGCCGAAGAGAATTTCACTCAAAAATATTTATATATTCCGCAGAATTCCGCTCGAGCAGCATTGCATTGCATTGCCACCCACCACATCACATTCACCTGTTTTTCCGCTTTTCCTCCATTTCTTTTTCAACTTCGCTCTGCTTTTTTGCACCCTCTTGCCCTTTCCCTTACTTTTTTTTTTTTTTGCTTACTCAACTGCAAAAGGCGAATGCAATTTTTGTGTAAACAACGCCATAAATTCCAATGGAACTAAACAACAAAACGTTTGGCATTGGCAGACAAGGCCGAAGCCAAAGGCAAAGGGGATGTAAGGCAAAGAAGAAAGCGGGGGAGAGGCTGGTGCTGGTTTGCCAGTGGAACAGCGGAAAAGCAGGGCGGTTTCAATAGCCCAAGAAAGAGCTGAAATTATCATGAAAATGCTGCTTCGGTTATTCGCTTATTCTTTGTTGAAGTTGGTTTTGGTTGAGCGCTGCAAATTTACACGCAATTATTGTGAATGAATGCGCAGCGAAAGGAAATGCCCAATGGAAAATTCATTTCCCTTGTAGAATTTAAGCTTGGAAAATCCTTTGTCATCTAAAGTCTGATAGATCCCAATGTGCCATATAGAAATGTTAAGGTAATATTCGACATAACTTAAAAATTTCCCTTTGTGTAGTTACATCAAATTTGTTGTAATTCTCCATTCATTTAGAGCTTGGTCCAAAGCAGATTTACAGCTGCGAAACGCACTGTCCAAATGCTCTCTTATTCATTAATTTTGTCGCCACAGGATTGGATTGAATGAAAGGAACTAAAGGTTTGGGAGTATACTAATCAGAAGTTCATGGCACATTTGGAAAACCCAAAATGTCTATTTCTGTGTGTGTGTGTGTGTATGTTGTGCTTGTGTGTGTTTGTTATAACAACAGAATAGAAGAGAAATAATTATTTAGGAGTCAGAAACACGAACGGAAAGTGGGGTTGCAAGTGCGAAAAACAAAGGGGGCTAAAATACAGGAAAGTACAGGAAAATTGCATTTGGTCTGCAGCCAAAAGCACTGTGTGCACTTTAATTAGAAGTCGAGGTCAGTCGACTGCCTTCCATTTCCATTCCCATTTCCAATCCCATTAACGTTTTGAACTCCAAATACGAATCGCACATAGTATTTGAAATGAAGTCAAACCATACCAATGGAAATTTAATTGCCCCTGGCCTTATCTATTATCAGCAAGGCAAAAGGCCAAAGGACCAAGTTACTTCAATTTTATATTTTAGGACATGGGCTGGCTAAATGCAAAACAAATTTATTTACATATGATACACATGTCTGCACTGTGAGAAAATCTGTGAAAACTAGCTGGAACCCCTTTCTATGAAATATTCTAATATTTATAAACAAAAATTTAAAAAAATCGTACGAATTAATTTAGATTGAAAGATCCCAAAATCAAAGTTACATACATTTTTCACTTAAAGTTCACAATTCTGTTGACCAGTGTAGACATAACTGAACACTTGTTTATGTGTGTTCATTTTTGTGTGTGCTTCTGACAATAAACACATTTACAAGTGCGTGGTTAGACGGGAAGGGGGGCAAAAAAAAAAAAAAAAAACACGCAAAGCAATCATAAAATGTGCTTTTTTGGCTACCTTAATGTGATTGTCATACAAACACATACATGTACACTCCGGCAGTCGATTAACACCAACACAGACAAACAGCCGACCCACACATGTTTTAAGCAATATAAAGCATACGCCGCATATGACAGGCCCAAGTCGAGCCCAACAAAAGCGGTCGCCGCAAAGGTTCGTTTAACTTAACGTTTCCCACGCGAGCCACATTCTATATGTATGTGTGTATGAGTGCGGCACACACACATTCGTACACCTACACAGTGTCGCATAAAAATCTCACACCTTGCCAAAGGAATAAGCAAATATACACTTATGAAAAAAAAGTGTAATAATGTTTAAGGAAATCAGGAAAGATTTCACATTTTAATATTTGTAAAGTATTTACTTAAGGGAAAATGTTAGGTATTCCAGAAACAAAGTCACTGTTTTGTATTTATAATTTACAATCGAACTAAAAACTAAACTATTTCTTAGAAAAAGAGTTCTGTAAAGGAAGAAAATGATTATTAGTATAGCATGCAGTGCTTTTTTATGGGTGTATTCGGAATTCAGCTTACAACTTGCAGAGTCCAGAAGCCATGTGCTGCTCAAATTACTCGACGCCATCTAACGGCCTCAAGGCTCGTTTAAGATGTTTAGGCCAACCGCAGGATGTGGCCAAAAGTGAGTACACCATATGGTAATGTCACTGGGGTTTGGGTAGGTCAATGCTAGTCTGGGTATATAAAGATGTTACGGAAGAGTTGAGATTTCCCTCCTACGAATACATAGCTAATGTTTACTGCTTTAAATTAAAAAAGAACATGATTACAGGCTTACAATATTTGTAATTATTTTATTAACTATGTGAGACAGACTGCCTTTTAAGGCAAATAAAAGACTTAACTTTAGTAAAACTTCGAAAATAAGTGCTGAATGGCCAAAAGGCAAAATTGTGTTAAGTAAAATGGTGAATTTGCGACACCATTATTTCCCCATTATGAATTTCACATTAGCCGTTGTTCAATTAAGGCATCCATAGATGAAATTGATAATTTATATTTATTTGTTTGTTGTCAACTGACCGAAATTAGTAGCACCTAAACCCTAAAATCGGCCGCAATGATGCCTCTCTGGCAGCATAACCATTCGGGATTAGCCAGTGCCATTAACATTGTTCGATATTCCAGCCGATACCATTGATACCCCTTCCCTTGACCCCAAAATTCCCGGGGGACATATATACTCGTATATAGCATTATATATGCTCGCATTATGGTCATTGTGCTGTGCCTGCCTGCCCATCGTCGTTGTCGTTTCCCTCCGACAAAGTCAATTAATGTGCGGGACATTAAATTAATGATATACGCCGATAGCCACGCCCCCACCGCCCATTGTGACCGGCTAATCTGACTGGGTCGCTCAGCTAATTAGCTTTCCGCCCGGGACCTTGGCTTTGGTGGCCAAGCAGACAAAAAAAAAGGAAAAAAGAGGAACATACCACTGTTCTATGGATGAAAACATCATGCAGAACCAAAGAGAAGGATAATGTGGATGGGAAATCTTTTAATTGATTTATTTTCGCTTTGTCTGCGACTTTGGACAACATCTCCATTACAATCCCCAGGCCCCCAGATTCCAGATTCCAGTTCCAGTCTCCCACCACCTACTGCCCTCTCAGTACTCGGAAACTATTTTAATGCGCTTAGAACCCAGCAGCGACAGGCATTTTTATGCCCCATGTTATATAGTAATGATAAGCTGATTAGCGCAAGCCTCGCATAATGACATTGGCGACATTTTACAGCTGCCCTTCCATACCGCCCACACCCATACCGCCCACTATATATATCCATTTCCATCTCCGGGCATCTCCCTTTCATTCCGATTCCAAATCAGATGCAGACTGGTGCGCCGATCCGAGCCAGGCTAAGCCAACCCCGCGGGCGGATGGCTGTCGCCCCCAGGCGAGGATGCCAATCAGGCTCTGCTTTTGATGCTCCTCGCTTTGCTTTGCATGTCAAACTGCAGTGAGAGAAATTACTAGATGGTTTAACACTAAACTTACAATTAGAAAGAAATTCAGTAATAGTTAGCTGATATTATATAAATACCTACTTAAATATACATAGAAACGACTTCTTTTTGTAATGTTCTCGTCTGGTTAGTTCCGATTATTTCGAGTGCAGTGGCAGGACTTAGTGGTGCGGAGCGGAGGAGCAGCAACAATGGAGGCGAACGCTTGACTGAGCCATTGGCCACCCGCCTGGCTGAATGCTGTCGTTCGGCAAGTCCTTCTCTTGGCCCTCCCGCCGACCTCTGACCCCTCTGGCCGAGATCCTGTTGTCCGGACAGCCTCTTGCCCATTTGCTCTTTGCTGGTTGTTGTTATAGTTGCTGGTGTTGTTGGTGTCGCTGGCATTGACGGCGCATTAACTCATTTCCTGCATCATTAAGGGGCACCTGCAATTTTCGCACATTTACGCCACAGACGTGTCCAGGATGTAGGCAGATCCCCATTCCACCGTTTAATCAATTTAGTTTACTGGGGACTCCACTTAAATACGCTTTGAATGACAGAGAAGCTGGGCTTTAGCTCTCGGGGAATTCGACGCGATTATCATCAGGGAATCGAGTGGCATTACAGCTGTAGTTGGACTTGGAACTAAGGCATTCGAATGGTTAAATTTTCCTTTAGGCTTTTGGAAACTTAAGTATGATCTTTAATAATTGAGTAATATCTACAATTTTTTAGTAGTTTTGGCAATCTTTAGAAGAGATATAAAATCATTTATATAAATAAACTTAATATTTATGAATAAAATGTAGATCCGAAATATTTTTATATTATGAGTATAAATAAAGTTTAGATAAACTTTTTGGAATATCTGGAAACAGTTTTTTCATAGCACACACATAAAGTGTAATTATCGAAAGTTTTCAATAGACAGCCCTGGGCAGTTTAAGCTTGAATCGATAATGTTTTATTACCCAAACCATACACACCATACATTTTATAGCCCCCTTTATTCCATTGTCTAATCTATATCCATATCTACTCCACAGGCAGCACAGCGAATCCGGATGCGAAACGATTGTACGACGATTTGCTGAGCAACTACAACAAACTGGTTAGGCCGGTGGTTAATGTGACGGACGCCCTCACCGTTCGCATTAAGCTGAAGCTATCGCAACTGATCGATGTCAACCTGAAGAACCAGATCATGACCACCAATCTGTGGGTGGAGCAGTCCTGGTACGACTACAAACTCAAGTGGGAGCCCAAAGAATATGGCGGTGTCGAGATGCTCCACGTGCCCTCCGATCACATCTGGCGTCCGGACATTGTCCTCTATAACAAGTTAGTTCAAGTTGATAGTTTTTTTTGTTTTTAATGGAATTTTATTTTTGTCGATATTAATTTTATGATTTTAATACATTTTCAGATTAATATTATAATTTTTAATCAAAAAAAGTTTATTTAAATGTAAGTTGGTTGCTTTAACTTTATGAATGTTAAGCAACATGAGTTGAATTTCCCACTGATTCATTTATTTCCAATGAGAATGAGTAAGAGTATTATATCTTGATGAATTTTTCAGCGCTGACGGCAACTTCGAGGTGACACTGGCCACCAAGGCTACGCTGAATTACACGGGACGCGTCGAGTGGCGACCGCCGGCCATTTACAAGAGCTCCTGCGAAATCGACGTGGAGTACTTCCCCTTCGACGAGCAGACCTGCGTGATGAAGTTCGGCAGCTGGACCTACGATGGCTTTCAGGTGCGTCATTACCCTAAATTTAAAAATTTGTAGAGTTTAAAATGGTGAACACAACTTTTAGGAAAGTTAACATATTAAGGTGTATAAAAGTAAAAGTTCCAACAACATTTAAATAAGGAAATCAGATAATTTCAAGGATAAATTTTGCCCAAATACATGTCAAGAGATAGTTTACCCAGTTTTATGCCCCACTACGCGAAACTATTTTGTTTCTAAGACCAGAAAACAATGGGATTTGCTGGCTAACTAGATTTCAATTTCTCATTTGGAAGCAAATCTTTGATGTCCCTTTTATGTGTACCGCAAATTTGGCTGGCGGCTCCTTGAGAAATCCCCTCTGCATCCCCTGATGCTGCATCTTTGCCTGGGCTGCCCACACACGTGATCCAATTTAAACCACACAAATGAAAGTTTCTCGGCCGTCTGGCCTTTGGCTAATTGGTTTATAAATCTGTGGCAAGTGTTCGAGTTTGTAGCAGGACATATATCAGGCAGATATGTTGCCATTAAAGGATGTGCCTGCCAGTGGGCCAACAACTCCTTATCTCAGTAAACCGGAACATTCTGGCTCAACCTACCGTTTTGCCCATTTTCTCTCATTCCCATTTCCCCGGTGACTATCTCATTTACACATTTACAAATTGCTCACCTGGCGCTCCTTTGTGGGTGTCTCTGAGCCCGGTTTAGTGGTCATAAACCGAAATACGGTCATAATTCCTTTTTGGAATACTGGCATGGAATTTCTCACGTTTTATGGCCACAAAACACACGGCAACAAAGAAGGAAGACGGCAGGCAAATGGTTTTGGAATAGACACCACGACGAACAGACAGACAGACAGTCGACCACAGGGAAGCTTCATAAAAGCGTCTCCAGTGGTTTTGGCCAGCGGGTTGAGGAAGCAACCAACCAAGGACCAAGGACGAACTGGAGACTAGGTATTCAGGGCACAGGACACTGAGGCAGCTTGACACCTGCCCGGCAAATGTCGACGACTAGCGGTCGGAGGCCGCGTAACCTCGTAAAATTCCCTGCACCACACAAAACTGCAACCCAAAGAAGGTATGCACTTGGAAAATTAATATTGAAAGCAAGAAATATATTAAAATATTCTAAAGATAGTCATATATTTTAAATAATTTACTTTCTGAGACACTTCACTTCAACGAATATACCTAATAATAAAGTACTTCCTCTTGTAGACTGTTAGATGTACCTGAACAAATCCGTACACACAGTTTTTTTGAGTGCAAGGTTGGAGAACATGAATGGAGAACCTCGATGGATGCTTTGTGGCTCCGTCCTACGGTTGGGTCCCTGCCAGCTAATAATGAACTGGCATTAGGTGGGGATCTAAGCCAGCTTGCTTGCAGCCATTCGGTTTACCATTCTCTCGATCCCCTCCATTTAGGCGGAAAAATGGGCCAAAAAAAGGTTAACCACATGCATCTACTGAGCTGCATTGGCCAGGTAGCGTTTCAGTTGAACAAAATCTATACGATTTTCAGTGGTTTTTGTCCTCAACTGGAATTGTCATCTGTGACTTCATGATTTTCCAGATAAGAAAGTCAATTTTCAACATACTAATTCCCAAGCTAATTAAACAATTCCAGCAAAGAGAAGTCAAATAATAGTTAAATCAAGTCTATGCCTATCAAAAGCTTAAGCCACTAATATCAAATTATCTGCCTTATAACTTTGTATAAATAATAAATTAACATGGCCACCCCACAGCTCGATATTATTTGGAAAATATCGACAATTTAATAGCTCGTATTAAGGCCTCTTTAAAGTGAAAATATCCCGGGGGAAAATGGGAATTTGTGTATTCTGTATTTCGTTTCAATCACTCAATTAGCAAAGCAGATAAAATGTATGTCTATCTGGCTTTAAGTTGACTTGCTGACTTAGTTTAATTGCCGAGACAATTACCAAAATGTAGTCACTTTCTCTTAAGTGCTCCCTCTCTTTCTGGCCCACACATATGCATTTACACCTGCTCATACATCCAGGCACACACACACACACACACAGAGACAGCTAACTAATTTGGTAAAAAGCTAAATGCTCATTTACTATTAAAAAGGAAAGGCGCTAACAAGCATTTGACACGACACACAGTAAGGGGCGGAGAAATGGGAGGTACAACGGGCCAACATTGTCTTAAATGTTACGTGCACTTAGAGAAAATGGTAAAGGAGAGTTATTAAAACTTAAAAGATAAGCTTAACATTCGGATTTAATGTGTAAAGCAACCAAATCTCTAAATATTAGTACACATTGTTTGTAAAATTTTAGCATATTTTCATTGCGTGATAAATTTCATTCAAGTGCCAGACATATTTTGTGGTATAAACTCTGGCATGTTGTGTGCTCAACTTTACGCATAAATCAACCGCAAAATGAGCGATATCCAACATAGTAGAAGCTAAAATTATTTATAAAGGCCCCCAAAGGGAATGGTGTGGCCTTCATTCGCATTCGCAATTACTATCAAGTTGCTCCTCGTGGCATCAGTCTTTGGCTCGACAGCGGAAATATTTCATTAAATCATCATCACTTCCTTATAGTGAAATTTCCGCTACCACTTAAAATAACAATTTCCGCTTCGGCAATTCCACAGCAGTAGCACCAGGAGCAGCAGCCGGGGATAGGATTGCACCTGGCCAGGTCTTGGGGAAGCACCACCACATCCTGTCTGACTATACTTCCCCTTTTTTGCCCAACTTGCGGCACAGCTGCATCTTCGCAGCCTGTTTTTCATTCATGCTCAGCCAACGTCGATTTCCTAATTTCGTGCCAATGAGCCAAACTTCAAGGGGGAAAAATCAAGGGGAGAGAATCGAGGTTAAACTGTGAAGTCTGTATGGGGACCGAACAAAAGGCAAGGGCAAAAAGTTTATAGGCTCAATTTTCACACTTGATTTTTCACAGAGTACGCCCATACACACACACATACAGTTTTTAACAAACTTGAAAAAAAAGAGTTAAGGAAGTTAAATTTTGATATTGAATTCATTTCGATATCTTTAGAGAGGTGTGAAAGTAATTTTAGAACTATTTAAAGTTGTAGCTGAATTCTGTATTAATAATATGGAAAATATATTATAGTTCATTTGATAACTTTGTATATATACTTATTTGTATATATCTATCAGAGTTTTCTAGTAGTGCACATTACCAGAAGGGGTGCAGGGCTTAGCAGAAAGAGAGAGTGAGCATGGAAACGAGAAATCGTATTAACGTCACTTTTCAAATTTCACGCTTTTCCAAAAATGCCACCGCCCATTTCCACCCACCGCCCTCTTTGTCAACTGGCACCTGCAAGAGCCTTCTCCAAGCTCCCCGCAACCCCGCAACCCCCTTTCACCTTTAGCCCTGCCGCCCATGGGATGCCATGGAAAATCGTTGAGGCGTAAATTGGCAGACAAAATGCTTTAGGAAATTCAGTCGAAGAAAGGAAGGAATTAAAAATTGCTGATGGGATGAATGCACTTCCGGGTTAATATTCAAACAGCAAGTGCACACGGAAAAGCCAAGCAAGCTGGGCAAAAACTAGATAATGAAGTTTTGGAAAAGCTTTATTTGCCAAGTGGCTAAAAACAGCCAAGGGAAAAGGGCAGTTTAAATAACCAAGAAAACTTAAGGAGATAGTTCTCAGACATCTATTCCGTGCTCTTAACGGATTTTACGTACATGTGGCGGATATTTTGCAGTTTTTGCCCCAATTTCGTCAAACTAAGATTTTTAGGTTTGAATGCAGTTTGAATAGAAATTTAATAACGCACCCAACGTGGTATTGCATTCAACATTTTAGCTATTTTTTGGCTTTGTTATGATCAAAATACTAAGGTTTCCTTGTTTCCAGTTTTATTGCAAATCAAATTACGAGCTCATCGAGGAATGACATCAAAATGTTATGTTTAAGTTTATGGGTTTTATTGGGAACTTAAATATTATTTATTGCTATATTACATGGATGTGTTTTTGGTTTAAGTTGCACGATAGCTAAGAAACCCGAAACCTTTAGAAGATCTACTAAAAATCCAGTGAAAACCCAGGCAAATTTCGAAAGCCAAGAATCAAATTCGATAGAGTGTTGCAATTGCATGTCAAATACTTTATCCTGAACAGTTCGACCTCGGACGAGGGACATTCGAAGGCAGGTGAATGAAGGCGAAGGAATGCTGCCAATACACCTCTTCCTGTGGGCCAGGTGGTGGCCAGTCGCCGTCCATGTCCATGTCGATGTCCATGTCCTGTCAGCTGCAGTCGTGCCAAACTAAGCAAAACTGAACACTGAAATTGAAGTGCGGCCTTGGCATGTTTGTTCATTTCGGTATCGATGCAGCATTTCCTCCAGCATTACCACCACTACCTACTACTACTGGCTCAACACCCGCTCGCTCTGCTCCAGACAACTCTTGGAATCCTTCTGCAGTAAGGATCCCAGTTTCCCAGCTTTCGCTGCTTTTCCAGTTTCGAGGATGCCGAATGCTGCCACTGAGTTTGACAGTCAAATCGGAATGGCAGTATAGAGCCGGGAATAAAGGCAGTCCAGTTGAGGGTCGAAACAGAGACATCTGGCAGGGAGTTCAGTCCAATTATGTTCGCTGTCAGCGCAACGCACTATTTGTCTAATCACTGGCAACTGGGAGAAAACTCAAGACGGACATTTTAAGAAACTTCAAAGTTGTATACTTTTACACAAGAAAATGCGTTTGAATTAATAATTATCCATCTTGAAATTGGTTGTTAAGGTGCTGTTTGTTTTCTGTCTAATACTGTACAATCTAAGGTTTCTAATAGGAAATTTAATCGCAGTGTTTGAATTACTGGAAACTGACCCACTCTGTATCCACTTTTCAGGTGGATCTGCGACACATCGACGAGCTGAACGGCACCAATGTCGTGGAGGTAGGCGTGGATCTGTCCGAGTTCTACACGTCGGTCGAATGGGATATCCTCGAAGTTCCTGCAGTGCGGTAAGTGCCAGCAAGCTACCCAATTGAAACCACCCAACTATTCAGCCACCCAGCCCCACCCACCTTCAACCACCCACAAAGACAGCAGCAGCAGCAGCAACAACAATTATTTTTGGCAGAAACTCCTTTGGCAAGTTCCTTGGAAGCTTTGGACGCTGTCACAAAACACAAACACAAATCTTTCAGGATGTCAGAACGCACACACACACACACACACACATAAACACACTTACGCAGGTCAAGGATGCCAGTGAGAGAGATAGACATATGCCGGTAGAAAGAGAGGGGCTGACCTGAGTTGTCGATGTTGATGATGATGATCTTTGGGCAAAGGCATGGGCATAAGCATGGTCATGGGCGTGGTCCTTATTTACACTTTACACCTCCCTTTCTCCACCCCCCTCCCAATATTTTTCCCTTGAAGTTTTTAAATTAAAAAACTTTGGCAAAAGGAACTGCCAAAGGAAAGAAATATATATTATACATCTACACATATAAAACAACAACAAAATTATACATATAAATAAATAGGAACTCTTGCTTCTTATGTTCCTTTCTTCTGCCCGTCTGGTCAGGCATATGTGCGGCCACAGCAGCGGTCGAAAAAATAGTTTCAGATAAATGGAAAAATAAACAAATGTATTTATCGTCAATCTCTGATTTATTGTATTTATAATTTTTGTTTATATGTTATAGATGTTTTTATATATTATCTTAAAAATAATTTTAATTGTAAATATTTAATTTTAGTTTTTTGTAAGTTTTAAACCACAATTTTGTCCACAACTGTAGGCGAATGTGTGACTTTCGTTCTGGCAGGAAAAGTGAAAGCTGCCTGAATTTGTTTCCTTGACTTGTGAGGCAGTTGTTTAATTGGCACGCCCACCATTTTGAGACGAGTGAGATGGCACGCTTGTGTGCACACACACACACCATAGGAACAAGGGACAGGGAGGTTACATGGAGGGAGCATGGGGTTAAGAAGTTCCTCTACCAGAACCTCGTCTTTAATGCATTAAGCCCCAGACAAAAGGCAACAAGAAATTTTTGTTTCACTTAGCGCAACTTTGTTTGGAATCCTGGGATTGTTGGAAGCCAGCAGGTGAGTTTGTGGGCTGGCGGTCGTAGGTTAAAAAGGGTGGGGGAGTTTCTCGAATGATAATGAGGGTGTGGCTATTGCGAAAAGGGGTGTTAAGACCCGGGTGGCAATACTGTTGAGTGCTATTAATTAGTTGATGACACGTGCTAGATGAACTGGGAAAATTCAGTTTGAAAATACTTTTCATTAAGCTAATTTGGTCGCTTAAATGGCTTGGATTTTTACTTTTCGCTTGGTTTTAGTCCAGAAAATATACTTCAGTTTTCCTTATTTTTTTGTTTTTGTTATTTATTGAATACATTTAATATATAATATACGTTGTATCTATCATCTTTAGAATTTTATTACGAGTAACTAACTCGATGTTTTAACTATCTTTTATCTACATTTTTCTATTTCAATTGTCTTCTTGTTTTATTGGCCAAAAACCAAAAGGTAACGAAAGTTAGGGCAGTTGATTTTTCCGATAGTTTTTGCAGCAAGTTGTATTTTTTTATTTCCACTTTTTTATTGCAATTTACTGTTGTTTTTATTGTTGTTGTTGTTGTTGATGGCCTTCGGCACGCGTAGAAGCCACAAACAAGTCGCGACTCCCGTCTCCAAAAAGTTATTTTATTTTTATATGAGTATTACGAGCCACGGGGATAAATGGGTGGATGTTTTTTTTTTGTTTTGGGTGGTGGAATCGGTTTCTTTCGAAATCACGAGGAAGAGGTGGTGAGGCGGAAAAGCGTCGAGATTGTCCGTGAATGCCGTGAGAGTGGTGTTTTTGTATCCCCACCCTTCTTCTAAACCGAACCCGAAATGGAGGACAAAAAGCCGTAAACTTCGCAGGTATATGAGTTTTTCCCTTGGAGAGGGGATGCTGGGGTTTTGGTAAAATGAAAGGGAATTGAGAAAGTAAAATGGCTGCGAGGAAATAATTTCCTTGAACTATTTTTAAGTTGCGTGTGGGGCAAGAAATGGTCAATAAATCAGTGGCAGGAGCTTGCATTCCTCTCTACATTTTTCTTTCTCTCTTTATTTTCGGTCAATTCATATTCCATCAAATTTATAATTAGTTTGGTTTTTATAGTACCTTGCCAGAGAAAAATAGTTAATAATATAAATATTCCTCTACTCAAATCACAATAAATGCCCTTGCATTTTTGATGGCACCTATATGAATATTTGAAATAGCTAAAACTCATACCGTTTAATTCGTTTGCCCTATGATCTCCTGTCATATCCCACTGATGGAACCTTCGACCCCTCTGCGCTCATTCCCATATTCACCCAGCATTTTTCATAAGCGGCACGTGACAGACGGAAATGACAAGGCTCAACCACAGTGAGCAGTAAATAAATAAAACAAAGGAGCAAAAATATATTTAAAGACATTGTTATAAGATCAAATTTAATTGCAAATATTTCTTACCTTAAAAACTATATGATAACTCATTTTAGTTTGGGAGAGGTTTTAAATTATAATTTTATCTAAAACATGTTTATGCAATCCCATTTCTCCATGATTAATGTAATGTATATCACCAGAAATCTTCTCCAGGGTGAGAAAGGAAATAATATCTTCTGAAAATATCTGAGTGATGTGTGCGTGACAAAGTTTTTGAGGAAGTTATAATACCTTAAAGCCAGGGTATCAACGGCATGTTAAGACCTTTTGCCAACTGAGAGCTGAAACCACTGGAAACGGGGCTCAAGTCATTGACGGGAATTAAAAAGTTGACAGCGCCAGTTACGTGTGCGTTTGTCGACCTCCATATAACTGTATGAGTGTAGGCATTTCCTATGTGTGCGTGGGTGTATGTTGAAGCTTACGAGTGTGAGTGTTCATTGGTTTATTTGGCGTGGCATTGGCAGTAAATTATGTCACAAGTGCGTGACACACTCACAAAAGCAGCCGTCGGCTGCGGAGTCTCTAAACCTTCCAGCCAACTACCAACCCATCCACCCACCGCCCATTTTTGCCACCTAACCAACGGCCTTCCAAGCCCTCTCCTAAAATCCCCCCTATGAAAACCTCCCATTTGACTTACTCCCTTGGCAGCTTTTATTGTCTGCAGGCTGCCGTTGCTGCTGCTGCGCCTAAAAACCTGCAACACAATTCACAGCACGTAGAGCAATTTTCCCATGAAGCCTGGACCTACACTCCTCTGCCAACTGGCAGAGCTCCTCTTGCTCACCACGCTCCTTTCCCAAAAACTTGTGTAGATCCTCCGACAGGATTAAGTTTTAATGCGCATCGACAGTTAAATTAACTGAGGGGCGCCAGAGGAGGCGTGGCAGGCCGCAGCACGTACAGGTGGGAAAATACAGGGCGTTTGGGGGCTCGGTCTACCCATTTAAAAGTGAGACAGAAGTGGGAGAGAGAGACAGGAGCGATAGACAATCGGACATTGATTGACAGGTGGGAGAGAAGTTGAGACAAAAGGGGCCCAGAAATCGAAAGTAGAGGCAATCACGGACCCATAAAATTAACCCTGCTTATTCCCGTTCAAAACCCTTTTCTTCCAATCCGTTTGGGAAAATAATGACACTGTGAAAGGGTGGCAATTTGCAGTGTATAGGTTTGTCTGGGGAAAACTGCCATGAAATTCTGGCAACTATTGCGGTTGATAAAGACATTGAAGAAGGATTTTTGGCGAATAATGTGTTTTTTTATTTGTGAATGCAGTTTTAAAATAAACTTATTAACGAACCCCCTGAGGATGTATGGCATTTTACATTCGGACTTATTTTGGTTTCGTTCTGGTCAAAACACTGAGTCTTTTGGGTGAAAAATCGGAGTTACTTACCTATATATATATATTAACATATTTCATAAATAGATTTTAACATCGTAACAGAGCATCCGAGCAACTGAAGGATACCCAAGTATCACATGCATATTCGGCGTAAGGTATAAAAACATGCAGACATATCGCTGTTTAAAAAAACAAAATTATTAAAATAATAAGTGAAATAAAAATAAACGACCGAAATTTATTTATATTAATGCATCCTTATTATTTGCTTTCCTGTTCTATCGATCTGACTATTTATAAATTCGTGCATACTTTTGAAAAGAAGATCGGCATACTTTTGGACGGTGGGTCGAAAAATGTTTGGAAATTCTTACACTTAGATGGCGCCAGCAACATTCTGATCTTTCGATTTTCACACTTGGAAGGCTATTTGACTTATGAAAATGTGGCATACTTTTGGACGTAAGATCGTAAGATGTTACACATAGATGGCGCCACGAGCATTTCTTATTCAAGATTTTTTAGTACAGATAGTTACACATAGATGGCGCTGAAAACAAACTATAGCGACCTGCTACGACTTCTGTTCGCCTGGTATTTCGCCCATATTGCATTTTACATATGGTCAAAATTTTTGACGAAAACTGGTAAAACTGTTTGACGAGTTTTCCAAATTTTAAATACTCGTCAAACTTTTTGACCAGTTTTCGTCAAAAATTTTGACCACATGCAAAATGCAATATTGACGGAATACCAGGCGAACAGAAGTCGCAGCAAGTCGCTATATTTTATTCAGCGCCATCTATGTGTAACTACTTGTACTACAAATCTCGAATAACAAATGCTCATGGCGCCATCTATGTGTAACATCTTACGATCTTCCAAAAGTGTGCCACACTTTAAAAGTCAAATGCTTTTTTCTGCGCCATCCAAGTTTGAAAATCGAAAGATCAGAATGTTGCTGGCGTCATCTAGGTGTAAGAATTTCCAAACATTTTTTGAACTACCGTCCAAAAGTATGCCACCCAGGAAAACAAATAATAAAGGGCTATTAAAATAAATAAATTTTGTTCTTTATTTCACTTATTATTTTAACAATTTCGTTTATTTCAGATCGATATGTCTGCATGCCTTATGCCGAATCTGGAGGTGACAAT